ATATATATATATACACATATAAAACAGGGACAAAGACAAAAATACTATGGAAATAAGAGAGGAAAGGAGAGTAAAAGATGGAGGTGGGTAGGAACTTCATTACAGTGACATGTCTCCTCCTAAAACCTGGAATCAGATAGGCTCTGATTGTTTTTTCTTAGATATACTGTAATCTCACTGATCTCCAAACAGTGGTGTAATTGGATTCTTCTGGGATGATTAGAAAAAAAGAAGCTATATTAACTGGTGTCTTTTTTGTCTCCAAATAACAGGACCAAGACAAGGAAAAATTATGACCTAAAGAACAGATAAAGGCTTGGATTTTTGTAAAGAGGTAAGATAAGAAATTACATTATTTTGTAATAATTAGGCTTTAAAATGGTAGATTACATTATGGTTATTCTTGTTAGACATTATTTATCCAACTAGGAGGTCTGCTGATCTTTAATAAGTAGGCCACCCCACTAATGACACGGAGTTAAGTTTTCATACACAGCATTGTTGGCTGTTTTTGCATCTTCACTCAAAGACATATCTTGACATTTTGGGAAACACACCTCCTTTGGGAAACACACCTCCTTTCTTCTGTGTAACATGTCTTTAAGTATTTTGAAAAATGCTCTACAAATAAAATGTATTATTATTATTATCTCAAGAATTTATTAAACATTTGTGACATAATTACTGTATGACAACAAGCGTTAACTATAGGGCTGATTTAAATCTATTTATTTTTTGAATTGCACTGGCCACACCTGCAACAACTACACCTATCAGTCATAACATTAGGACCACCTGATTAATATCATCCCCCTTTTTCCACCAAAACAGGTCTGACTGGTCAAGGCATAGACTCCACAGACCTCTGAAGGTGTCCTCTGGTATTTGGCACCAAGACGTCAGCTGCAGAGCCTTTAAGTCCTGTAAGTTCTGGCAACGTGCGGAGTGGCAACTAGTTCCAGCAGCTCTGTCCTGTTTCATTTTTATTCCGTGCTTTCTTAAGTTTTCCATGTTTGCTTTGGGTATACTTCTCTGTACATAAATAACAGATGGTGCAATCCTGGGCACATCACTGTGAAAAATTCTGTAGCAGGGACATTGAGCTATTAGCAATCATTGTACCGCTGTACTACATTCCTTGGGAGTACTCACATGTAGTGGTGATGACTGTTTACATTCCTGCCTTGGCCGACACCACTGCAAACCACTGTGCCTCGGCTGCAGACACAACACCCACAGGCTCTAATCCTCATCTCGGGGGATTTTAACCATGCCTCCCACCCCTTCTCTGCCACCCTCCCAAACTTCACCCAGTATGTTAATTGCCGCACAAAGGACAATAAAACTCAGTGGTGGGCCATGCATTTGGTACCTGGGCCTTCAGTGGAGACTTACCCGACTTAATTCACCTCTTAATACCACCACTGTACGTCGCAATTATAGAAACCATCAATGCTATACAAAAACGCAATATAATAAAGTGTGGCATTACAGAGAGAGAGGTATTTTGCGTATTGAGGGTGAATACCGTTTTTACTAAAGCAAGAAACCCAGATAAGACAACTCCAAACCCTCTGCACTACAACCGCAGCTGTGATCTCTGCGTTTCAGTTTCATCGTAAGCCCTTTTCTAGTTTTGCTCTGACCAACCAATCAGACGACGGAAAAATGCTGACATTATTGTGGGCCAGCTAGCTGGCCCTGTGAGGCGAATTTGAAATCTGATTGGTTAAAGAAACAGTCCCATTGCTAATGTAGTTTAAGTTACATGGGCCAGCACTTCTGATTCTGAAGGCCCTGGGCAGATTAGATTGACATGGCAACACATAGAGGCTGAAATCTGATTGGACAAAAAAATCTAACATCCACATACACGTACTGGAAGCGGTGCAGCCAAGAGAAATACTACGAAATGAAGAGAACAGACTGTTGGGAATAAATTCATACAATTTCATGGAACAAATATTAGAATTTTGGTTGTAAATGTAGGTCAGTGCTTCTAATAGTGTTTAGGCCAGCAGAGAAGGCCTTGCTGGCCCTGACGGCCCGCCACTGATAAAACTCTGGATCTAATGTATGCAAATGCCAGGAAGGCATACACCTCCGCCCCCCTCCCCCTCTAGGTCATGGAGAATAACAACGTGCGTGAGGCATGGAAAGGACTGAAACACATCTTGGGCCCTGAAAAAAGTGGGGATGGTCACCAGGTTGTGGAAGATCAAGCCTGGGCAAACAAATTGAATCATTTCTTTAATAGATTTGACTCTACCCTGTCCTTAGCCCACATCCTACCAGCCCCCCGACTCACCTCTTTAGGTCAGTTGTCTCCTCACAGCTGCAGCTGCTCACACCTCAGGTATACCTTGCCCCTCCTCCCACTGTCACAGAGGGTTCTCAACAGCCCACAGCTCCTGAGCAGTCACCGCCCACCTGTCCCCTCAGGCTCACGGTGGACCAGGTCAGGAGGGAGTTAAGGAGGATTAAGGCCAAGAAGGCCACAAGCCCTGACCACATCAACCCCAGGGTCCTCAGGGAGTGTGCAGACCAGCTCAGTGAAGTGGTCCTGTGTTTTGGACCACCAAGGTTTCCCTGAGTCTTAGCCTGGAGAGAGTCCCGGTTCTGTGGAAGACATCCTGTGTGGTCCCGGTTCTTAAAATAACTCATCCCAAGGAGACGAACCATTACAGACCTATTGCCCTGACCTCCCACCTGATGAAGACCATGGAGAAGATTGTCCTCAGCCATCTCTGTGCCCAAGTGAGCTTAGCGCTCAACCCGTTGCAGTTTGCATATCGACCTGGCATCACGGTAGATGATGCTATTATCTACATGCTGCATTGAGCCCTATCTCACCTGGAGTCCCCCCGAAGTATTGTGAGGGTCATGTTCTTTGACTTTTCCAGTGCTTTCAACACAATCCAGCTGTCACTGCTGAGGAGAAGTTGACAGGGGCAGGTGTGGACCAACACCTGTCCGCATGGACCATTAACTACCTCACAAACAGACCTCAGTTTGTAAGAATGCGTGACTGTGTGTGTTACAACCTAGAAATATTTTATGTCTTTTGTATCTGAAAACAAGTTTGTTTCGCATTTTGCATATGCTGTCACCCAGCAATTAGTAGGATCGGTTTGTTGTTTTGTGGGGAAAAGAGGAGGGGTGAGCATGTTGATGACGTGTAAAAAAAAAAGCGACAAGTGTGGGGAGATTTCGTGAGAAGGAGTGAGGAGATCTCCAACAGAATCGGGTAATAAAAGTTGCCAGAACCAGACAAAGCCTCAAGAGTCTTGTTTGTCCAGGGGTGCAACATGTGTCAGACATGGTAGTCTGCAGCATGGGGGCGCCCCAGGGGATGATGCTTTCCCCCTTTCTGTTCACTCTCTACACGTCGGACTTCAAGTACAACTCCCACCATTGTCATCTACAAAAGTTCTTTGTTCTTATGGTGTTTTGTTGCTTATTGCTGCTGGAACACAGGAATTTCCCCATTGTGGGATCAATAAAGTCCTACCTACCTACCTAAAGTTGTAAGGTGGAGCCTTCATGGATCGGACTTGTTTGTCCAGCAAAACCCACAAATTTTGAGGCTGAGTCAACACCTTGAACTTGTTGTGCTTCTCAAACCGCTCCTGAGCCATTGTTACAGTGTAGCAGGGTGTGTTGTCCTGCTAAGGGAGGCCACTGCCATTAGGGAATACCACTGCCATGAAGGTGGAGTCTGCAGCAGTGTTTAGGTTGGTGGTATGTGTCAAAGTAACATCCACATGAATGGCAGGACCCAAGGTTTCCCAGCAGAGCATTGCCCAAAACATCACACTACCTCTGCTGGCTCGCCTTCTTCCCATAGTGCATCTTGTTGCCATCTCTTCCCCAGGCAAGCAACGTACATACACATGGCTGTCCAAATGATGTAAAAGAAAATGTTATTCTTCCTTTGCTTCATGGTCCAGTCCTGATACTCATGTGTCCATTGTAGGCACTTTCAGTGGTGGGCAGTGGTCAGCATGGCCACTCTGACAGTCTGTGGTTATGCAGCCCCATATGCAGTAAGCTGTGATGCATTGTGTTCTCACACCCATCCATTTATCCACCTTCCTCCGCTTATCCGGAACCGGGTCGCGGGGGCAGCAGTCTAAGCAGAGATGCCCAGACTTCCCTCTCTCTAGATACTTCCTCCAGCTCCTCCAGGAGGATACCGAGGCGCTCCCAGGCCAGCCGAGAGACATAGTCCCTCCAGGTGTTCTCACACCTTTCTATTAAAACCAGTGATAAAGCTGCATTAATTAGCACAGATTTGGATAAATCAAGTAAAACGTTGTCTAGAAGTGTTCTCTCCCTGCTGTACTAACCCCCCACCCAACTCTGCTATCTTCAGGCCTTGTGTTTATTTCTTGCCCTCTGTGGCCATCCATCTGTCCATCTATTATCATCTGCTTATCCAGGGTCGGGTCGCAGTGACAGCAGGTTCAGCAAGGTAGTCCAGACATGGCGTGATCCTGCTAGATACATAAGTACTGTAGCTGGCTAAACTGTATATGTCAGCATCATTAGCACATCAGTTTTGTACCTTTCTATTGAATTATTCTGATTATAATTTGGAGTCATTCGAACTGACTGCAACGTTAGTGTTTTGTTGCCCATTTAGCAGAAACCACTGTGTGGTTTCCTGGATTAGCAAATGAAGTAAATTTGCTTAGTTTGTTAATTTTTCCTTAGTTTTGGTGCAGGCCACACAGTTTGTTTATCTTGGACATAACTTCGCAGTCCATGTAGCATTTTAGTGAGCCATTAACACAACTAGAAAAGTGGGGAGTTTGTTTAAGTCAAGAGTCAAGAGACTCGTTTAACTATTAATGTATAACATGAAATTTCTCTTGTTTCTCATACAGCTCATGGTTATGGGTGTCAAGTATGTAACACTGAACATGATGTGATAGTGGCCAAAACATTAGTACTGTATCAATATTACTGGGAAAAACATCAATATTACTGGGAAAAACATCCCTCTGTATAATTTACTTGTGTTACTGCAGACACATCTACTACAAACAACGTTAGACATACCTTTGCATATCACTAAAATGTAAACCTCTTTATCTGACATTGTGTCGCTGCAATGCCTCTGAAAACCTTGGGTTCTTTGGGCTCTTTATTCTGTATACCTTAGTGCTGGAGCCAGTTATTACCACTGTGCTACCTGACTGCCACAACTGTCTCTGGCTGTCATGGCCACATATGACATGTTTCAGAGACAGGGCTTTATCTTTTAGATTATCAATTCCATGTCATAAATGTTCTCATAAGGGCAGGTTCTTGATTTAAATAAACTGGTTCTTTGTCTCAAGACACAAGACTTTTAATCTAAGAGATTATTTCAAAGATACTATGAAGCTAGTGAAATGAATATATTGTCTTGTGGGGGTTTTCCTTTGGAATATGGACATTTCTTTATTTTAACTGTAGCAAATTAACAACATGATCATTTGATCTGTTCAAATATCCTGGGATGTCTGATGTTATGGCCATAACAAAGGTATCATCAACAAAATTATTCTTATGATTCCTTTCTTTCAACAGATGTAAGTGTACAGTCTGCTCCAATTTAGTCATAATTACATTAGCAAAAATTGAACCAAGTGGTGATCTAAAACACTCCATGTGTTTATGTAACCTTTGTTATTTCAAGGGAATATTGTTGTAGTCAATGTCTCTGATAAGCTTCATGAATATTTGTTGCTGCTTAAAAAAACAATATAGTTTTGATTGGTGATCATAGGTCTTATTGTAAACGCTGTGCACATAAATAAGCATATGAGGCAAAAATGCAACAAAAATTGTTTGCATATCCAAATACCAAATCGGATTCATTTTTAATTATATTGCAAGATATTGTACTTTGAATATTTTTCCTATGACCCTGGAGCAATAACACCTCACTGAAGGTGTATCAAATTAGTTAATCAATTCTTCCTTTGAAATGGCATTAAAACTCCCCTGCAAATATAAATGCCTAATTGCCATAGTCAGCTCTTGCAGGGACAGTGAGGAGGACATAAATGGGCTGATCAAAACAACTTTTCTGTAGCAGGTTAATTTGAACGCTTTCATCTGTTAACATTTTTTTCATTTCTTCTCCTCTGCTACAGGGCAGGGACCAGGCAATTGGAGGGAAAACGGATGGTATAAAACACTTTTATATTTTGCTGTCCACAACAATTCTAGCATTTTTCTTTCTTTCTATTTTGTTTCTCTTAACTGCTCCTTTCCCTTGAATCTATTCCTCCTGTCTCTCTCCCTCTGTCTGTTCCTTTATTCTGTAGCCAATCCTTGTAAGGCTTCCATTAGAGGTTCACATCCACTGATGTTTCTCTGATGTCAGCACCTGCTGGAACTTCTTTCAAGGCATCTATTGATTCTCTGCCAGTAGCATCTCTGTGTCTCCTTCTATGTCAGTAAACAGGACCACATGGAGTTTTTCTGTCCCTGCTCGATTGAACCTTTACTGAGGCTGGCACATCACTGACCCCTAACCAGCACCTTCATCTGTTAGCACCTCTTAGCTAGCCTTTCCATTTAGATTCCAGCAATACTCTTCTCTCTCTCTTTCTCTCTTTTTTTCTAGAAAACATACTGCCAACTTCTGTGGTGCAATACATGGAGTGCATTATATCTCTATATAATCCTACAAAAGTTAATACAAGGCATTTTTTTCCAAAACATCTTCCAACCTAAACAACAATATACGTCTTTTGTCCATACCTTAAGCCTTAAGTTTTTATTCCATTTAGAAATAAGAAACAGTGGAAGCTACAGTAGCAAGGTAAGCTAACTAGCTTCCACTTTGAAAGGGAAAATTCAACTCAGAAAGGGGAACCCTAGAGGAAGTTAGCTTAGCTGATTCCCTCTCTCTGTTAATGTTTATTTTAGTCCAGCACTTGCTAAGTCATAGGCATGCTTCAGCCACTGAATTGAATCACAACATAAAGTAACACTGAGTATTCAAATTACAGATAGACAGTGTTGGGGAAGCTACTTTAAATTCATGGCTTTGCAAGCTACCAATTACTACATACTGGAAGAAGTTGAACGATAGCTACCCTATAGGAATAATTCTGGGCTTTGTAAAACAGGGCTCACATAGACAATGTACTTGTGATAAAAAATTATAACAAGATACAAAAAAGTCACATATGCCAGCAAAAGCTTCCGGGTTGCAAGCGAGAGCAGACGTGTTTATTGCTTCTCTGTCTGTTCTACGATTTTTCACTTCTTTTCTTTTCATATTGTCAAGGCTTTGAGCAAAAACTCAACAACTACTAAAATGCCTCCAAAAGGGAAAAGAGCTAATAAATCCGAAGTGAACGATGGTGTTGAGGCGGAAGAAGATTCTTTTTCAGCGGCGCAAGTTGCTGAGATGATGAATCAGCAGCAGAGTATGCACACTGCGCTTATGTGCTAACTAAATGAGAGTTTCCAAGGCTTTGTGAAACTAATTATGGAGGCTAATAACAAGAGATTCGATGACTTGACCAAAGAAATGCAGGAGATAAAAATAAGTTTGCAGTTTACCCAGCGAGATGTGGACGCGATTAAAGCAGATGTGGGGAGGCATGAAATAACTGCCAAAGACACTTTTCGGGACATTGATAAAACCCGAGAGAGTCTAATAACTATCGAGGTTAAGAGAGGCAAAGGCGAGAGGAGATATCGCGTTTCTGCGATATGATAAACTGGTGACTAGACCCCAGAACCAGCACTTCGGACCAAAGAACAGCACGCCGAGACAAGGAGAGTATGATGGGGCCGCGGGACCCTCTCATGTCTGAAGAAACTTACTGATATCTGCGATGGCAGATGAGCTGTGGAACCATCATCAACCAGCATGACTAATGGACGATATGAGGCAAGTGATTTACTACAGAACTTAATAGATTTTGAGGGAAGGGATCTGGAACTGAACACATTTAATGCACTATCATGAAACGGACGAAGGCTTTGACCCTGAAGAAAACTTTTTCAAGAACCTTGAAAATAACTGCAAATATTACACGGATGAGCAGTTTAACAGCAATGTCAAGACTGAAAACAAATTATCATTAATTCACTTTAATAGCAGAAGTCTGTACGCTAACTTTCAGAGTATAAAGCATTATCTTTGTAGTCTTACACATGCTTTTAATATAATTGCTATCACTGAAACCTGTGATTAATAATGTAAGGGGAGTGGATTTTGACCTTGATGGGTACGACTTGGTATGCACAAACAGAGAGAATAAGATGGGAGGTGGTGTGGCCTTGTACATAGATAATAACTTCTGTTATGAAAAAGTCGAGAGACTGTTGATAACTTGCTGGAGTGTGTGACTGTAGAAATATCCGTGGAAAAAAAGAAAAAGGCGGTAGTAAGCTGTATTTATAGAGCACCTGGAGCCAACATAGAAAAATTTAATGACTGGATAGAGGAGAACTATTTGACAATAAGTCATAAATTAATGTTCATATGTGGTCACTTCAACATTGACTTGTTAAACCCATATAAACAAGCACACAGGAACGGAGGAGTTCTCCAACTGGTTCAGGCCGGGTTCAGACAGAAATACTGGGCTCCATCCATACTTCACACTGTGTAGATATCCTGCTTGTTGTTGTGTTTGTATGCATATTAGTTGCTGTCAGTGGTTTCAGGAACTACTTGCTCTTATCAGCAGCAACTCAGGTCACCACCTCAGTTGCAGTAGTTCACCTAGTCTATGCTTGAGTTCTGGTGCTATGGTGCCAGCAAAGACCAGGCTTGGTGTCTGCTTATCCATGAAAATGTATATTTCACTCTTTGTGATAGATAAATGCTGACTAATGTGCAGTGCCCCTCTAAAAATAGACCCAAAGTAAAGATGCTACAAAGTCAACACAGAGTGTTATGTACAGTAAACAGTCTGTCCTGTGCCGAGTTTAAAACAATCTCCAGCTAATAAACAGCAAAACTATACTACAGGAGGGTGATTAATGAACAAACAGTACGAAGGCTTAAGGAGGAATTAAGGGGGCAGGATTGGGAAGCAGTTTACAGAGAGGAAGATTTAGATAAAGCATATGAACAGTTTTTAAATACATTTCAGGAAGTATATGACAGGAACTGCCCACGTAAGCAATATAAAAACAAAAGGAATTACAGTGAGAAACCATGGATAAGATAGGGATTACAGAATGCATGTAAAAAGAAGAATGCATTATACAAGGATTTCATAAAAGACAGATAAAAAAAGACGGAAGTAAAATATAAGGCGTACAAGAACAAATTAACTGAGATCCTGAGGAGATGTATGAAACAATATTATTCTAAAGTATTGGAGGACAATAAAAATATCACGAGAGGTACTTGGAATATATTAAATAAATTGATTAGAAATAGTCCCAGCAAGAGTAACTACCCCCAATACTTTATGGATAATGATACACCGGTCAACAGAATGGAGGATGCAGTTGATAAGTTTAACAGATTTTTTGTGAATGTTGGCCCTAGTCTAGGAAGAAGTATTTGTACAGATACTTCTGCCATCACTAGAAATAATAATGCAATTGAAAGGAACATGAGTTCCATGTTCTTGAAGCCCATAGTTGAAAAGGAAATTATAGAGATAGTAAATAAATGGCAAAACATCAAGCGATAGTGATGGTATCACCATGACAACTGTTAAATGGGTAATTAAAGAGATAGGCAAACCATTAACACATATTTTTAACATGTC